AATGAAGCCTCAGGGTTTAGGAAAAAAAATCTTGCTAGATAGCCACAATGAAGGGCTATGAAACTTGCTTGAGAAATTTTTTTTATTGTATTTGTTACAAGTAAATAAATTTAAGTGCAAGCCCTTTCTCTTTAAAAGAGTCCATGGAATTCCCCCAGGCTGGGAAGCTATTTTACTGTTCTTTATTGTTTTCCATGTAAGAATTCAATCAGATTGCAATAATGCTGATGAAATTTATTAAAGCCATCAGCAATTCCATCCTGTAAGAGCATGTAAAAGTAGTAACCACTGCGAAAAGTCACCACAACACAGCCTCCATCCTTTAGCATATTACCCTCATCAGCTGCTATGACGTCTCCTAATAAGCTTAACCCTTGATACATTGTTCACGTATTGTGCTTGTGAGCTGCTTAAGACAAACAAAACAAAACAAAAAAAAAAAATCATGCTTTTGGAGGTAAGCTCTTAGCCCTACTATCACATGCTGCAGTGTTTTCGTGTTGTACTAATTCATGAATAGAAGACAGGGTAACATACCGCAACATGCAAACTATTGATTTCATTCTCGGGTTGACAGGAGACTTTTTCCAAGCCTTTGGAATCTATTTTCATCAAATAAAGCAGCCATTTGCCATTACTAATTTCTTTCGGCCACTGTATGTCCAGGGAAGCAGTACCAAATGTTTTCAGTGGTCTGCCCAAGTTAGTTACCTGTTAAAACAAACATTCTTTAAACTGTGAAATACTTCTAAAAGGGATTTTCTTCTTGATCAAGAATGTTACTGACTTGGGCAAGTGTTAAGCATGCAGCTAACAGGAAATTTAAAAGCAGATGAAAGACAGTCGAAGCAAAGTATATACTAAAACTAGCACGCTTGGATAGCAACCAAATATGGAGCTTAAACATGTAGGGATTAAAATTCCCTAACACGGACTTTAAGCTGTTGATTTTTATAAATCTATTCTCATGTCAAAGAACAACTCCAATTGCAAGTTAACAAATCATTCGGTTACATAACTGAGGCGAACTGCAAATTTATGAGGCACTCTTGACACAAAGATAACCAGCTCTTGCCCTCCTATGACTGGAAGTTGTTTCCCAACTGATTTTTTTGTTTTCTTAGTGTTACTGTTCATGATAGCAAGTTCTAAAACAGATATTCTAACTGCTTCTACTTCAGTACATGCACGCAGGTACAGGAGGAAGTAAAGGACTGACAGAGATGGACTTTAATTCTGACAAACTACTATGTACAAAGACAGTGGGGCTTGCATTTATGATGTAGAAAAAGCAACTCTTCTTGCTGATAAACAGTTTTTACAGAACCAAAATTGTCTCTCTCGGCCTTCTCCTTGATTTATCTCCTCTGAAACAGGCCCACAGATTCAGAGTGGCTCCTGCAGTGTTGTCTTGTGCCTGCTCAATCCTGCGTGCAGCAAATACACGTACTTGCTATCTGTGGGCATCAGCCAACATCTGGGCATGCCACAGTTGGGGTTCTGGGTTTAAGTTTTGTTCCTTACCTGCATGGGGTTTTATGCTGTACAACTGAATGTGCATGAACTGTTGAAACAAAAGGTGTACAGCCAGCCTCAGGCCACTTCCTCAAAATATGATCGTAAAACCTCAAAGCCTAGAGAAGCTCTAGTCTGCAGTCAGACTGCATGTTCTGATCAGGAAGCCAAGATTTTGGGACAAGAAAAGTCAATTTTAAATCCAGGAACTTTTCCAAGTTTTCAGATGCATAAAGAGAGAAGCTGTTCATTTGACTAAAAGCAGCTGTTGGCATTAATCTAAATTACTCACTCTGAATTCATACTCTATGAGGTTTCCAATATTATCTTCAGATTTCATAGCACTCTCACCAATGATGTTACCTCCAAAATACACCTGAGAAGGCTTAGCAACTCTGTTCAGGTGGGGGTGGGGAAGGAAAATAATCAGATTTTAATGAAGTCTGCACAAAACCATCATCCCCAACCCCCCCCATTTGTTACGCTATCAGCACTTACCCAGTGAGTGATAAAAGCAATTCAAGAACCACTTTAGCACTAGCTGTAATTGGAGTCGAATTAACTTGAGAGCTTGTTCTACAACAAAAAGGAAACAATGCTGTTTCACAAATTTAGCCGTTTCCACTTTACTATTAAATTGCTTTTGCGAATGAACAAATTAATTCAAAATGTTTACAACTGTGTATAAAAACATAGCGTGCGCACAAAGAAAACTTACGTTTCCAACTTCAGATTAATGTCCAAGTCTGTTGTATCAACATTAACTTTAGTGGTACTTAAGATCAGGTAAAAGGTTACCTAGACAAGAAAGAACATCCATGAAATACAGAAATGTTTTGTAAAATATATTAATATATGCAATATTATGGAAATACACCTCAAGTTCTAGAGTTAAAAGGACAGATCCAAATCAAATTTCCAGTTATGACACACAGAAACTTTGGACGACTGCAGTCAGGAATCAGATTTTATAACTTGAGTAAAACAGGTGCAACTTACGTTGGAATTTCTTTTGAAAGGATTTCCAAGTTCACACTCTGCTTGAGAACCGTTTTGGTTAGCACCACATGTTAGCTGTTTTTCCTGATTAAACAGAACACATTTAAAAGTGAAAATATGCTGAAAATATTTACAAATTTGAGTATCTTTTCTCTTAAAAATACTTACAGGATAACCCCTCATCTCCCTGAATGCAGAATACGTCAGACTGTCTGGAAAAGTTGCAATTAGTTTAGCTTCATATGCATCTTCACCATCTTTTTGTGGATTTTTTGCATCAGATGGATTGTTTGTCACTGTTATTTCCAGGGCAATATCTTTCTGATCTTTCAGAACAAGCACTGGCATGCCGTTTTCACTACAGAGAGTATACAGGGTTGTGTGTATTAGGAAAACAAATGCGTATGAAAGTTTGCTTCTTACTACGATTTACCCAAATACAATTCCCTCTATTAAGGTCTTACAGTAATTCTTCCCTAAACACGTGCATGGTGTAGGGTGTTTTCTCAGAGCGGTATTTTGTCTCTGAAAGTGGCCAGCAGTTAACAGGACAGAACAGACTGATAACACCCCTCAAGTAATCAAGAGTTCATAGTATTTCTGAACCAGCACTTGCATCTGGCTCACATTTAACAGTGATGAATTTTCTCTGAGTAAGTCTACTGACTTACTTTTTTCTTGTAAAGTATACGTGGTTTTGGCACTCACTGCTAAAGATGACTGACTGTTGACAGTATGTAAACATACTTCCTTTTCTTTGTTTTACACCTCTTTTCTAATTTCACTGGCCCGCCAGGGAGGAGGGATGCAGCAGGATGCTAGGTGTGTGCGACAGTGAAATGATTTCTCTGTTCCTTTCCCTGTAACTGCTTGTCTTAGGCTACTAGGCTGTAGTATATCGTGTTGTCATACTCACAATCAAATCTCATCTCAATAACAACTGTTACAGTATCACATACAGCATCACAACTGTTACACATCACATACATAAACTGCTGCAAGGCTAGTTTAGAAACTTTTTTTCCTTGTAGCCCACACCTGCACAGTTGTGGCCACTTTGTTATCCATTTGACTCTGTACCACCACTCTTCTAAAGCTCATCCTCACTCCCAGACCTTCCTCAGCCTGACTGATCAGAACTACTACACAGGGCGGTGTTTGCCAGACTAACAGAACAAAGCTGCTCTATGTCCGAAAACCCTCTCCTAAAGGTCCTTTTAAGGACTTAATAATTTGAATTTTAGCAATACATTAATTAAGGCTTACATTGGTAAATAAGTAAACCTGTCTTCATTTCCTTCTCTAGTGCAAAACCGGTACTGAAGTTTCAGATTGCTGTGACATTCATTGTCTTCTCCACATCCTTCCTTTAAGAACTCCACCTAAATAAAACCAAAGCACTTTTACTGCATGCCACGTGATACTAGCTTAAAACAGGATTTCTGATGTGCACTGCATCAAGCACCTGCAGGGAACTCAGAGACACTTTCCCTGGCAGCGTAACATTTTAACCTGACTCTTACTTCTTGTCTGTCAAGAGAGTTGTTCTTTGTGAGACATAGCGTTTGATGCTGATAATTTAGAACTTTAAATGTGACTAAAAGGCAGAGTTAGGTAATTCTAAGTGAGAGGTACACTTCTAATGATGAAAAACATCCTTAAGTCAGATTCTTCAATGAGCACTGAGGAAATGAGATCTTTACCCGAGGTATTCCCTCTCTTTTATGTCACTGCTGCAGCGCTCTCATGCTGTTACAGCATCCTAACCATGGAAGAATTAGACCGTACATTATTTTGTGATGTGGGACAAGTGCTCACAGCAGGAGACGATGGATTTCCATTTTTAATCAGAAGTACGTGTCCTCCTAAACTTGTTGGGGAGAGGGAAAAAAACTAGCAGCTATACCATCTTCACTTCTGTTGCAAAAGAAACACAGGATCTAGTTCATAACAAGTTGGTAACAAAACAGAAGAGAGACGCCAGTCCAAGGGCCATCCCAGTTATTTCCTTTGGTCATAATTTAGCTTTCAACAGTCTTTAAAATTCAGTGATTTATCAAAAATGCAGGTTTATGGGAAAATGTGGTATCAAAGGCTTACTTTTGTGGTCTTTGTTTCAGATTCATTTGAATTTAGAATTGGTATAAGATCCGGAAGTGCTCTCTCTTTTCTTGTCGATGGTGAGCTAGACTCCAGGCCAGCAATTTTAACACTGACTGATATTGGAATGGGGCGTAGCTTATCTTTAATTTTTTCCTGTAAAAATATTTTAAATTATATAGTTAGTGTATGGTACAGAGAAGAAAAAACAACACAAAGACTAGCTTTTGATATACATTATAGAACAAGCAGTAAAGCAAAATCTTTTCTGCTATGTTTTGCAGTATTAAAAATATTCACTATATGGAAATGCAGCATTTTCTAAAAACGTGCAAGAAGAACACACGGAGCCTAGCACTACTGTCTTTCTCCTTTTCTCCTGACTTCCCAATCTGATGATTTCTGTCACCGTTACGAATTCCTGGCAACAACAGATGTAACTCAGGCAAGTGAAATTCACACTGCAACAGTAAAATAACACACTGGGACAGGCTACCCAGAGAAGCTGTGGATGCCCCATCCCTGGAAGTGTTGAGGGCCAGGCTGGATGGGGTTTTGAGCAGGTTGGGTTTTTAACCACCCTGGTCTAGCGGAAGGTCCCCCTGCCTATGGCAGCGGGGTTGGCACTACATGATCTTTCAGGTCCCTTCCAACCCAACCATTCTATGATTCTATTGCGTAAGTTCAAGCTCTTTCATTTCCTGTGGTCAAAAGCAGCCTTGGAGGCTGGCTTGTTACTGCTGAGCCACAGATAGAGGATTTGTTCAGCTCCTGGAACAATGCCACCTTTTAAGGGCCAGCATAGCAGCCAAGTCAGAGAGCACACCAAGCTTTCTTGTCCTGCCCGTTCATCCCCTCTGAAACCCATGGGTTAAAATTCTTTTCCTAGCCAGTCACACTGTTAAATTCTGTAACAATTTTTTGGTTGGAAACCACTCTCCATTTTTGGCATTTATTCCTTCTCCATTGTTCTAAATTAGTTCAGCTCTATCGACCTCCAGAGCATGCTGCAGTGGCTACAACTTTTATTCATACTTGTTAAGAAAAGCAACAGGAGGGAGCAGCATGTGTGCAGGGAATAGTACAGCACTACTTAACTATGGCTGTTTTCGAGTTTTGAAGCTTTATATTGTATGTGACTTAAGTTATATACAAAGGTATCATGAGGCTGAAAAAAAAAAAGGCATGCCTTTGTTTTAAATGATCTAAACAAAACAAAAATAAAATATTCTGCCTTACCTGCAATACAAGCTTGGTTGTCACACACTCTTTTGAGTTCTGCCCCCTTAGGGTTGTACTTGCAGTAAACTGATCAGACAGGTGGTCTTTAAACCGTACCCTCGATGGCAGGCCTAACTGCCTCCTCTCATTTTCTGCTTCAAATGTATAGTTGATCTCTGTATGAAGAAATAAAGTAGGTCACTATAAAAAAGAACCCTTACCTTCTTAAAAAGAACTTTAATTTCTCCTGGTATGATCTTATAACACGATTCTAGAACACTGTTCCAGTGCTGGGCTTCACAAACTGTTTTCAGTTATTTACAAAACTTTCTCCATCTGTCAGTTTTGTCCCTCTCCGGCTGCGGGCCACACACCCTGTGCCTGTATCTAAAGGAAACTTCTAAACCAAATCCTTTTATTCCCAAAGCACCCCATTACTTCAGCAGCGTGCAGAGCTGGCTGGAGGAGCTGTAATGGCTGACGTGGAGCCAGCAGAGGGCTGATACAGAAAACTCTACTCCGACTCAGATGTCCTCGATTTCTGTTTTGTCTGAAATAGCCCCGAAGCAGCCAGCAGGATTTTGAGGTCAAGGTACACTGTTAATTTTAACACTGAAAGCGAAAGTGTAACTAGAGCTCTCTAGTTGTATGCTAGGCATGTTTTGATAGATCTGCATCTTTTAATCATCTCTGTATTCACATAGCCAGTTCAATGTCGCAAGGATGGGAACAGCACCGGGCATGCCAGGAGTCAGGAGCGTGCAGACGGCCACACATGAGCCGCCTCTGAGAGGTGGAACCACCTGACCCATTGAAGGGCCAGGACCTTATTCGGGATAACACAGGAGGAGAAGGAGGTTTGGGCTTAAAATTCTTCCTGTGTCCTCTCAAAATCCTACACAGTTTTCTGAGGTGTAATAACAGCAGCATTGTAACAAGAGAAAAAACAGGAGACATGAGAAACTAATGCTTTACATTTTTGAACTATATTTACGGCACCGTCTTCCAGGCTCCTATTAATACAAAAATTTTTTTATTTCAGTTTCTGATTTCTGCAAAACCATTTGCATTAAATACAGAACACTGGTTCATAGGGTAAGTCTCCAATAGGAAATAGTGCTTACTAATAATGTATTAAATGGGTTTTTAAAACTATTTTCTAAAGGAGCAGTAACCTAGAGAGGCAAAACGGTTTTGGTCTGTATGGCAGCCATTTGCTCACTGGCAGTTATTACCTAGACAGCTTCAGTTCAGTCTGTCATCCACAGAACTTAACACACCAGCATGACTCTACATACACGTTACTCTAAATACAGATGGTGCAATAGCTGATTGACCTTAGTATGGAGTCACATTTTAAATTTGACAGTCACAGTCTGAGGTGAGTCACTATAATTTGAGTACTATTCTTCCATGATACAGTCTAAAGAAAATACAAAAAACAAACTACATGACAAACAGATCAAAAATACTAATTTTTAAAACTTACTTATTCTTGGATTTAAGTCACTGGGGTTTGCAGTATATTGAAAACATGCTTTCACATCCATCCTGTAAAAAGTGCCAAGAAATTAATATTAATAAGGCATGGTCCAACAAACTGAAAAGTTTTAATAATCCATTGACTGATACTGTCAATCTTATGACTCTGGTTTTCATGCTAGAACAGTAATTTGCTGCTTACTAAACTGAATTAAAAAGCAAGAAAAAACAGTTAATAAGCAATTAGAAAAAAATTTTCTGGCATTTGCTCTTACATCTACTCATGAGAAAGCTGTTCAAGTTAAGATACTTCTAAGTGTTAAAAGTCTTAAGTGGACATTATGAACAGAACTTACTCCACACCTTGTCTTCAGCACAGTAGTCGCAGCAAATTCAGGAAGTCAAAACGATCACATGTAGGTACAGTTGCTTAACCTGCATGACTGTCATATCCCTTCACTTTAACATCATCACTAACTGAACGAATTTTGACAACAGAACACTCAATACACCAAGGCTTCTGATACAATAATATTTTTTACATTTACCATATTTCACTAGGGTCCTCAGGGTTCTTTTTCTTCAGATCAATTCTGTCAGGTTGTACTGTAATGCTTCTTCTAATGCTTACCACAGGCCGAGATCTTCATTTGGGGGAAAAAATGGGGAATGAAAAGAAGGGGTAAAAAAAATGAGAAGTTTCTGTTAAGATTAATGAAATAATTCATGTGAATCCCAGATGCCCTCCATGCCTGTGCTGATTTGCAACAAAGACACCCCAAGAAACACAGAGTTTGGCTTTGGTAATGGTTAGAAACAAAGGAAAACTACTTAAAGCTAAGCAAAGCAAGTCACAAAAAACAAGTACAATTGTATTAAATACCTGACAGGGAAGCAGAGTACATTTAATGTGATGATGGGGTTGCCATTTTATACACATAAAAGACAGACAATTCAAAGTAACAGTTCCCACTCCAACGGTAATTCAGCCCCTAAAGTTCACTCAGATTAACGTTCACAACAGCTTTCATGGGGAGCCTGGGTGGCTGTGGGAAACGATGTTTTCATTTCCTGACTCTGCATGTAGGCTGTAACCGTAATTCAGCCTGACAACTTCTTCCTTTCTCTTCCTTTTTGGAAGGGACAAGATGATGGTTCACATGAAGAAATGAATGACCTGATCCCGCTCTTGTCAAAGCATTTAAGGGTTCTTTAAAATGGCCAGTAAGCCACCTCCTCCTTTTCTAGCCAATTTCTTTTCACTGGGCCACCTCTTTCACTGTTCATCACCATGAAGGTTTTCGTTCTCACCTTTGTAAAAGTTTTTGTACTGCCTTATCACCAAATGATTAAAGCTCCTTTTCAGTAAGCAGAACACCTAATAATCTAATCAACTTCCCTTCTGCCTACTCTGTTCTCTTCTGCAAGCAATGCGAGTGGCTTTTGCTGGGTGCTGTTTCAGTGTATTTAAGAACATTCCAATTACGTACACAGATATTATACACCTTAGAGATGGGATGATGAGAAGAATTGTACGAATGGTCATTCTGCCTGAAAGGTAGAGTTGTCTTCATCCCCAAAATTGAGATAACCAGTTTTGGAGTTTCTGCTCCTCTTCCTCCTTTGGGACCTGACAGCAACCACCAAAGACCTGAACTTGACACAGCATTCACAGCTCTGACGAGATGTCCTCTTCCTGCTCACTACTAGTGATTCAACTTAACAGTACATTAAACTGGGAAAAAAGCAGAGGTCTGCAAAAGACGGTGACCTCATCCCTAATTAAGGCATGTGCTACAGAAATCCAAACGGATCCTATCTGCAGGGCTTCCTCACAGCTGTTTCACAGACCCTGCTGCAACCTCAGCAAGGCCATATGCCTCACTGCTTCTGGATCCTCAGCTATGAAAGAGGGGGGGTGTTTTGTTTTGTTCCATCTTCAATAAAGCAGGATTAGACTTACATAACAGCAGCAAAAACACAAAAGCTCTAGCAAATGTATCAATTACCTTCTCCTTTCTTAAGGCAAAAGAATTACTTATCACCCTTAATTCCATCAATGGACATGGGCATCCACGTAAGTTACCACAGGGCAAAAGCTAGCATACAGATATACTACACGCATCAGCGCTGCACCATCACTGTCCACATTCACCCTCTTACCCTGTATTGATTGTAAGGCAGCTTCTCAATGAGAAGAGGGGATAAAGTCACAAACCAATTTATAGAAACCTTTTTTCCCCCCAGAATTTCCAACTTCTAGAAAGAAAAATGCACTTCAGGTCTAAGAGCTTTTTGTACTTCTAAGCAGTTTGTTTTTAAAAAACTAAAATGAAAACCTTGGTGTAATCAGTTACCATTCTGTATATAATACCTGAACACAGATACAGAATCTGACAGGGAACCAACAGCAATATCAGGGTAGGAATTTTTATCCAGGTCCATGTTTCCAGCAATAGAGTAACCAAAGAAATCGGTGCCTGTTTTTTCACCATCAAGAATCTAAAGAGCAAACAGATTGAGTGAATTCAGATATTTAAATGCTATAAAAGTGAAATAAGTAACAAGTGAACATTATTGTCTTATGACCAGGGGCAGGGAGGAGCAGGCAGAGAAGAGACACAAGGAAGTAGGACCTCTGTGTTCAGGTAAATGACATTGAAGTGCCAAGATTATTTGCTTTTCTTCCAAGAAGTTACTTTGCAATAGCAGTGACTACCAGAAATGACTGTTTTGCATAGAAATATTGTCTAGCTTATCTTTATTTATAGTATTCACGCAGTATAGGCACTTGAAACTGAAAAAGTATTCTAGAAAGCATTCTAACAGTATTCTCCTAAGTGTAATCAAGTTCTACTCCTACCTTGCAAACTAAACACGGTGGTCCTCAAGAAGAAGAGAAAAAGGCATGAACATTTTTTATTGAAAAAGAAAGTGAAGTAGTAGTAGTGAAAATGAAGAAATTAATTGTTTTCAAATTGCCAAATTTATTTCAGAAAAACCAAAACCATACACATCTACATGCCTTTTTCCTTCTCTACATATTACTGGTGCCAAAGGACTGCCCCAGAAAGAAAAATGCGTATTAAAATGAAGAATTCCTAATCTTCCTGCTCAGCAGCACAATCTTTGAAGGGTCCTGTGACTTTTCTGCCTACCCACCACCCCAATAGTAATGGAAAGAGAGAAGATGGATAGGCCTGTCATTCCTTTAGTTGTGTGCAAGGCTAATTCTAGATAGCCAAAGTCATTTCATTACCTGTGCTGGGTTTGTATTTATTCCATTCTTGGATCCATGATAAATGTATACTTTGCCAAAACCATCGTATGGAGCCCCTACTGCAATATCTGTTGAAAAGAAGTTGCAACATCTAAAACCATTCTTACTCTTTCTGCAGCTTGCAATCACGATAAGGGTAAGATGTTTCAAGTCTAGCATTAGCAAAAAAAAAAAAATAAAATCACATACATTTTAATCGTAATCATTTTTCACTCACCTGGATATCCATCCTGATTAATGTCCCCAACATTTTCAACTGCGAGACCAAACATGGAGTCAGTGGTTCCATTTAAGCGAACAGGTTTTACTCCTTCCCATTTGCCTTGTTGGTTAATGTAGATGTACACAGCACCACCAATATCTCCACTTCTGTCAAAATACTGCGGGGCTCCAACAACAATGTCTTGCCATCTTACAATTAAAGAAAAAAAAACCAAACAAACAGTGGTTTTACAGATTAACTGTGAAAAATAACCAATCAGACTGTGATCTGCAGGTCAGCTAGCCAAAGAGCTGCCAAAAAGACTAAAATGTACATTAAACTGGTTGAGCAACAACAGCTCCACTGATACTACCAGCTGATTATATTCCCTTTGTGACATACAAGGATCTTCTAGGGCCTTCTTTGGGTATGAGATTTATTTTTCCTTTCTTTGTTTACACTAATTGTTTAAATTCATAATAAAACTGTTTTCTGTAATTAGACTGTGTCCTGGAAGGTTCTCCAAGAAGCTTGCCGTTTCCTCCAACAGAACATGGAAGATGGGATTTGGCATTCCTTGTATTTCTAATGTGAAACACCAAAGCAGAAATAAACGAGATTGCGATCCCTCATTATACAGGCAGCAGGAGTTAACCAAGGCCATACCCGTCACTGTTGAGATCCACAACAGCAACATCATAGCCAAAAGAAGAGGCCAGCCCTTCTCCTTCAAACATGTGCTCAAGTGAAAGTGCTCGCTGATTTTTCTCTTTTTTCAGTAAAACCACTGCTCCGCTGTGGTTGGCTCTTGGGGCACCAGACACAAAAGTCATCTCATCTTGGGAGACAATTCCTTTACCAGAGTCCAAAGAGAAACCTTTACCAGAGAAAGAAATAAAATATAAACAAACTAACATCTTGTATTGTCAACAGGAAAAACAAGTTCCCCTACTATATTAAAGTGGTATATTGAATAGAAGGTTTGTCTAAAACAGAGCATGATATACTGGGAATTCTCCACTTCTGTTTGGACTGGTGGATGCACGTTTACAACTCTACACTCCTCCATACATTAAAGTGTTTGCCCCACAAAACATATTATTTCATTGCTCACTCAGATCTACTTTTCACAGACACCAAACACAAGATCATTTTTAAACCTACCAGCTCAGGAATGACTATACCTTACCACTTGAATATAGCTTGAGTATTTCACCTCTGGCAAAATTATTATAAAACTTCCTAAGTATAAGTCAGTCTCATTCTATTGCAAACATGCAAAATGTACCACACAAGCACAGTATTTTACATGAATGATGTATACAGTATTTGAGAATCACCTTACACAGTAATGGTGAAATAGGCCATTTTGATTTAATGCAGCCCTAAAGGACACATTCAAATTAATTTAGTCTTATGTATTCTTTATAAAACTCAATACATTTTAGAATATATGAAAAACTGAGTTAAAAGAATAGACTGCATATACCAACATATCCAATAAAGGCCAAAGTAGAAAATTACATACATTGCAAGGAAGAAAGATACTACCAGCACATAGAAATCTCCCTTCTGAAACCCTTCACCACTACTATGAAAATTCTCAATTACAGCAATTCACGATGGGGCAGTTTCACAAACATTCAGGGAGTCCCAGCTGGGGGAAGGATGAGAGGGTTTGGAGAAACGCATGACAAATCGGCGTTTCTCTGAAGCCGTGTTATTTTGCAAGCTCCTCTTCATCTGAATCCCTGTTTCTACATGCTTTTACTTGCAATGTATTTGAGATGAGGGGGGGTGGAGGGGAGAGGATCATGTCAAAGGTCTGGAGATCATGTCTGACCAGATGCTGCCACCTCCAGTGGTCACAAACCTAAGTAGCTATTCATCATTACATCCACCGATTTGTCCACCTGTATGCCGGGAGGCAATGTTTTGTACACAAACTGATCTGGATGAGTATCAGACACAGCTGTCAAAAATAGAAGACCTGTAAACATGAGTGACAGATTGAAGAGAAAAAAAAAGTAGTTAAGCAAAGCAGCTATAACTGTGTTTATTTACTGTCTAAACAGGGAACAGCAATGCCAGGGAACAGCAGGCTTGCCTGGAAGTGGTTTTGATTGTGACAAATCAAAGGCAGCATTTACATTCAGGAGATAAAAGCATTTGTCATGAAACTACAAAAAGTCAGTATTACTCTGCTCACAGCAAAATACACCCTCACAGCACTCCTCACCTTACCAATTCCTACTTCACCAGAAGAGGCTCTCAGCTTGTCTTTCTAATGTAAGCGCTTACGAGTTGTTGTTTTTTTCCACACCCAGTAATTGCTGCTGATATTTAATGGAAGTCTATGTTCTGTTTCTTCTAACAGATACGTAGCTCCAAGTTTGCTCTTTTCTTGACTTGCTTTTACTTTTTGTATTAGCAACGCCCTTTCCACTTGTTCAGCTTTCCACCACTCACACAGGAATTCTAGTTTCAAGTTGCCAAAATTGTATTTGTTGCGCATGCCAAAAGCAGTGGACCAATATGCCACAGAAACGTGCACTAGAACAGAAAAGGTCTTTTACACTTGAAGCCTTTCCAAAAATGCAGCATAGCTTCTTCTCTGCACCCATGTATCTCACTGGTCTACAGTAACATCCACTGGCCTAAGGGCATGTTTCTTCTTTTGTGCGTGCACAAAGTGCAAGAGACTTGCCTCCTGCAACACACACACTTAAGATACAAACACTACTCATGTTATGGTATTTTAGAGGCCTGTAAAAAGGCCACTGGAGTTTTAAAAACTTGGAAGAATAAGAAAATTGCACTCACCTACCAGGAAGGAGAAACTGCAGTCTTAACAGTTACATCCAGAAACTCAAGTTTTAATAAACCTTCTGATACCACGTGGCAGAGACCCTGTGACTAAGGACGACAGATCCATGCACTGTACTTCGCCATTAGAGCGATTATAATCCCTCCCTGAGAATCCGTAGGTCCTCATCACAGCTCTTAAATCTCTCATTACATTAGCAGCTCTTCTAGGTACCTCAGCAGCGTTATCACCTTACACTGGCCTATAGATGTGGAGGGAGATGTGAATTATCCAAAATGGTTAACATGTTATAGGGTCCACAAATGAAGGATTTTCTGCTCCCATTTCATATCATTGCACCAGGCTGGGATCACAATGTTTAAGAAGCCTAAAGACATTTACCATATGTACTTAATCCTACCTAAGTAACTGTTAGCTGGAACTGGAACTAGATTCTTATCTTGGCGGCTCTCATCACCAACTTCGTAAGGCCCATCATCAAAGATACCCAGATCATAAAATGTCTGATTCTTTTGCTCTGCACGAACCACCCCTGAAGAAATGAAATGATAAAATAAAAGCAAATGAATGGTAAGGCAGAAAAATAACAGATAAATGGTTCCCAACTAACATTAATTACAATGAATGAGATAGTGACTGCTGTTTAAATGGGACAAACACTGAACAGTGCACTGGGTGAAAGCATTTTCAAAAGGCAATGAATTTCTATCTGTGTGCCAGAATCTCACGCTGCTCTACAGAGAAGCCATGCAATGATCTGGAAAACATGGGATACTAGGAAAATTCTCAACAAAAACACGGAACCAACTTGGTCAGGAACCACCCTCACCCCACAGTTCTTAACCTCATAAAGTGTCTTTTAAAAGGGAGGTAAGTACATCAGAATACAAAAAAAATTTTTTTTTACTGTTCAGCTATGACAAACACCAGTCATATATTTAGAAAACATTATTTAAGGGGAAAAGAGATATTGTTCCGATAAAACACGCGCTTCCCTTTTATCAACAGGCACATTTAACATTTTGGCAAGCACCAACATGTTTTTCCATGATACAAAAGAGTACTCTTATGACTGATACACTGTCATAGCACTTCTCTGAAATAAAGTAGAACAGTGTCTGAACTCAATATGCTGTTTCAGTTTGGTCAGATTTTGTTGACAGATATGTGGAAGATTAAGTTTTCACTCAAGTACACCTTGTGCCAGAGCTTAACTCAAAAGATTTTGCATGGTTCATATAGCAGGCACAGGTGTACGAGGGGAAAAAATTTAATGGTTCGAGGATCAGATGTTCTAAAGGGAGAAGTATTTACAGCTGTTGGTGTAATACAGTGCAGCGGGAAAAATCACTTTAAGAAAAAGAGACAGAGCTGGCCATTTAGATGCTTCTCAATATAAACTAAGAGAAAAATCTATGGGGTTTTTCCCTTAAATTTTGGAGTATCTCCTAGATGACAGAGAGTACTTGGCTCTTAGACAGGTTATCCATGGAATTTTACATGGATATCCATGGATTTAGATATGAATAGTATGTAGTACTGCTCTGTTCAGTTATCTTTCTGCAATCCTCTAGTATTTAATTTGGGAAGTACTACTTTCCACAGACTTCACAGAGAATAAAGTGGAGAATACTGCAGGATAAACAAAGATCTCAGTGCAGCTGTCTAACATGTATTCAAATGCAGGAAAAAAAGTTGGTCAAATAACTTCAAAATAATACAGTAATTTGTTCCAGTATGGAAGTCTCAAAGCAAGCACTCAATCCCACCGTAAGATTAAGACTAATAAGGGGAAAATTTGCTGTACATACATGCAGAGTTCCATTATCCACTTGTAAGTACTCCCTCAAAGATATTTACAAGAACTTCAGTAAATACTTTTGATACAGGAGCATAGCATTTTGTGAAAACAGGGTAAAATCACTAGATCCCTAGTATCCCCTCCCCCCTCCAAAAAAAAAAAAAAAAAAAATTTAAAACTTGGGATGCAACCCTTGTGAGCACTCTCAGAGGAAACGCGAAGGGTAGGCAGGAAGGAAGCCAGGTCGTACCTTTCCAATTGTAAGTGCCTGGGGCACCAAACACAATATAGTGATAGTCTCTAGTAAAAGTAGCAGCAACACCTTGCTGACAGGAACCAAACTTCTCATGGCCTCTTAAACGACCATCACAAAAACTCCATACGCCGTTATCCATATCATCCTTAATAGTGAGATCCTGGCTCAGGACATAGCACCTTCCAATGATATCCCGGGTTTCCTGCACTGTGTTTACATACTGCCTTTTCTCATAGCGATGTGCACATGTCTGCAAGACAGAAGAAACAGTAAATGATGCTTTCTGCATGTTTGTATGCAAGTCATCGGAGAAGGCTGCCTCCTTTAGCAATACTTCATGCCAGCAATGCTGTAAGTCACCCTGTAGACACACTCATGTTGCAATGCAGGGAGAGTCCACTGTTCCCTGTGGGCATCGTATGGGAAAAGTTGGGTGTTACGGATACAAGTCAGAGCAACCAGCTTCATGGCTGAGGAAGGCCGCATGCTTGAATCCCTATTCTCTGGGGAATTTAGGGTTTTTAGCCCTAAAGCCATCCCTGATACCCAATCCCTCTCTTTCCAGAAGTGAGGAAGGAACCACCCTATCTCTCAAAGAAAGAGGTGGCTGTGTTTCCCCACAGCTGTCAGAGTTAAATGACTTACACACTTCTGCAGGACACGAGAACCTGGTTCAACTACCATCTACCTGAGACTATTCAGAACTCACCTCTTCCAGAAAAGTGCCACAAAGCAGATGGTGAAAGCTTTTCCAGTAAAGAGGAGGGGGAGGGAAGTTGTTCCTACATCGAATATTCTGCTTACAGGGTAACTGTCACTGGGACAAAGCAGCAGCACCAAGCACCACCTGTTCCTTAACCTTTTAGACTGTTCACCAGGGAATGGAATTCTACTAAAATATTTAACCCAAAGGATGAATAACCACTGGGTTAAGTAATGTAACCACCAAACCACTGTCAAAAGAGATGGAACAATCAAACCCCTCTGCCAGCAGTGTTTTTTGCAGAACCAGATGTAGTAGGTGTGTGAAAAGCACAAGCCAGCCAGGTTTCCTCAGCTGACATACCTTTTCTATGGTTCCTATCAAGGCTTAACTATTAAGCAAGCACCCAGCTGCTCCACACTTAGAGCACTGCAGTACTGCCCTGCTGCAGAGTGACGTTCAGGCTGCCCACACCTTATCTAGTAAGTGCATTTCCCACTTATCACTTACAAAGAGAAGTTCCTTCTCAGAAGAAACAAGACAGCATTAATTGATGATTAATTATTCAAAAAGTAGGACTCTTTCTGTCTGCTCTTCTCCCCTTTGGGTTCTAAGGCAGACTGAAGCAAGTTATTACTGCCTCTGTATCCTTAAATAACTCCAGATTCACATCCTGAAGTTGCCTGCCTCCAGTTTTGGAAGCAGTGACATTAACCTGCAAGAATATAACTAGATGGGGAAGCTTCACTGCACACCCATTTTATGATGTAGCTGGTATCCTGCAGCACCACGAGAGGTTTATTTAACCAAGAGACAGCTAAAAAAGTACCATTCGCTGGTAACTCCTAAAAGCTTTTTCTCTGTGTATTGTATAAAATAAAGAATAGCTAGTAGTCTTACTGCAGTGCAATGACTGCATTAATTCATAGAGGCAACTCAGTCAAAATCCCTGATGAAAGTTAAAATGAGGTTGATCATCTTAGAAAACAGGTCTCCTACTTTTACAACCATATCACACTATTTTTCCCTATTTCTGTAGCCAGTGGTATTTAAAAGAAAAAACATGTATATCACAAAAAAATAAGTGGACATCCTGAAAATGAACTGTCCATCCTAGATTGTTACAAAGATTATAAAGAAAGGCTAACTCACAGTTCAAAAAATAATTTAAAGCTCTTAGAATATCAAGTGTCTTCACTAGGGAAACATGTAAGTCATTACAAAAAAAATCACAGGAGTAAACACAGGAAAGTTACCTTTCAGAAAGCTGCACAGAAATACAAAACACTCAGAATATTTACCGTAGTCCCAAAATGTTTTTGTAAGTTAGTTCTTCAGACTTACCACCACATTTCCTCCTGGCCCCTGACTTTGGACAGTTACACCCATCCACTGGTCTTCTTTACTCTCCATCTTTGGGTCAGCTGCAAAGTACCATAATACAGCTTCAAATATTAACAGTTAACTACTTTTTTCTTTTTTTTTAAAGTCCCTGTCAGGACAGGCACTTCATACAGTACCGGAGACAGTCTGCAGGTGGCAGTGTCTGTACATTTTATCACTGATAACATCCATTTTATTAAACCTTTCTAGCATATGACTTCATGTCACATCAATTTACAAAAGAGTAAGAACATCCAAATCTACCAAGATTTAAGCATCTCATGCTATCTTAGCAATTAAGCTACAACTTACTCCGATGCAAAAAAAAGTTATGTATAAATCCACAGAAGCAACTGTCTGATACACTGCCTCTGGAAAGGACCACATCAACTAAGAAAAATCAGACAACTGTTTCAATCCAAAACAAAAGTGCTGAATAACTCACTCTCCTCATCAAATATGACCCGTGTGCAGCGTGTATTTGGAGATGCGATGTCACAGCTGTACAACCCTCCTGTTCTGTTGGCTTGTTGGGATGGAAAGGCCTTTTCCCGAGGAGCTCCAACCAGCAATTAAGAGAAGTAATTTCAAGGGATCTGTAGAGGGAATATTAGAAAAGATGAAGGCAACAGAATCAGGAGGTGTTTTCACTGTGTTGCTAGAGGTTTGACGTGCAAACATTTGAAGATGGATGAAAAGCTACATCACAGCACTGTTCTTTAAAAAAAAAAAAAAAAAGAGAGGAGGGGGGCTGTAAAAGCAGTAATAGTTCTGTAATTACTGGACCTGCAAACCAGTAAATGTATTGTTATTACTGCTATTATTGTTGCAATGTTCACCGAGAGTGGTTGATTAAAAAAAAGTAGGTGTCTGGCAGTTTTGCAAAAACCATCCTTCTATCAGGGAGTCAAGTAGGGTATTTTTTGCCTTACTAGAAACTGTTGGTAAAGGTAGGAAAAATATTGTTACTAAAATGACCGCAAACTCCCCCAACAGTGAATACAAGTTCTTTCGGGCTGTCTTCTAGTTTTATGCCAGTCCTGTGCCACTGTTCGGCTGAATTTACAGGCACTCTAATCTCTCCAACCCACCAAGCAAAACAAGATCCCTCCCAGCCCAAGCAAGTGTTCACTGAACTATTCCAGGCTCTGTGCAAATGTGTGTTCCCCCTCTCCGCTCCTTTGGCCAGATACTCCACTTTGAAGCTGAAAACATTTTTCTCCAACAAATCTCTCATCAAGAACAGGTCATTCCCACAAAGGACTTATTTCTCTTATAAAAAGGTCACTCTAATGAGTCTTCATTAGACACATTTCTTGTAACCAAATGTGAAGGTCCTTATTTTAAAAACTGAGTAAAGCCAATCTTTTTCCTGTATCAACTGTCCCCCATGAGTATTATCACAAAATCACCAGTAGACATATTTACTTGCAAAATAAGGGTTTTCAGCCAAAAAAATTCTTACATTGTCTATGTTTCTTTGAAACGTCACACACACACAAAGCACAGCTGCCTCTCAAGCGGCTAACTGAAACTAATAACAACCAGTATGTAACAGTTTGTGGCAGAAACATCATGCTCAGCTGAAAAAACAAGGATCAGAGAACAGCGTGTGGATAGGTGCAACACAGCAGGTATGATGGATGGATGCTGAACCAGACTCCATGTGCTTCCTGACCCTGGTACAAAACATTTGAGAGAAGAGATTCCTGACATGACAGCATCAAGGAGGGCAAAGCTGGGACTATAGTTGGATCCAGAAAGGCTCAAAGAAGAACTCAGACCCTCCTTAAGGCTTCAGCTAGAGAGTTTTGCTTGAGAGAAAAGCATTTCTGCATGCTTTATAGCAGCAGTGCGACAAAGCACACTGCTGTCCCTCAGAATGTTTTTCTTACTAAAAAGACGACTCACTTTTATTCCTATCTAAATAGTTAAGACTGGATCAGTTAAGATCAATACATAATTTTTGTTACTAAAAAAATGTTAATTCAACGTCACTAAAGTAGTGAGGCACAAAATGAAATTGATGTATTATGAGAAAACACGCTTTTTTTAAAACAGAAAATTACATCTGTATTGTCAAACAGCCAAGTTCTCATCACTTTCATAGAAATAAATGCTCCCACAATCCATAATTTGCCCTCATGAAGGTAACACCCTGAATGGCAAAACCTTCAGGTAAAGTATTTGCTTTTGACTGATGTACACACAAAATCGGGACACACAGTGTGGGTAGGTTTTGGTTTAAAGTGTTTCCTACTTTTCCCCCTACATCTGCCTGGCATCTTTTTCAAGGATTTTTTCAGAAACATAGCAGTCATCACAAGAGTTTGTAATCTAAACAACCACGCTTTTAGAAAAGCCATTAATAACTTCATTTTCTAATTTTGGCAACAGTACATTTAACTGTAATCTCTTGGAGTAATTCTTTTGCAAAGCATCTGTTTCTGAGCTATTCCTAACGTGGGAATAGATATATTTTCTCCTCAGTTCTGTTAACCCCCAGGGAAAGACAGATGAGTTGGTTTGGTTTTTGCTGTTTTTTAATATAAACAATGATAAATTTAAGAAAGTAGAGGCACTGATTTCCTAACTTACAGAAATTTTTATTCTTTCTACTTTTTCATTCAAAGTTTGGGGGCATAAAAATAACATTTAATTTCACTTACAGAAATTTGATCAGAAACCTTTTGTTTCAACATTTTGAACACAACTAAAAGCTTCTGGAATTTAAATACTTCGGTTTAATTTAATTTTAAATTTAATTTAATTTTAAATTTGGTTTAATTCACTCATCTTCGTACTACTGACAGCAGTGGTGTCAAGAAAATTATGACCCTGTTCTTTTCTTCTTCTCACCTCCCTAGCTAAATGATACCTTTTACAACATACCATGATGTGACCATGATCTTGATGACAATTCAGCCAAAGGGAAGACCTACTGAGGCATCAGGCAATAAACAGTGTAGCCAACAGAAGATAAAGTGGAAGGATGTGCAACCTGACATAAGATGCCTCAAACATTCAATGGCATCTCAAACATGCACTTGTTGAAATCAACAGATGAAAAATGCAATTGTGAGCCTTCTTAAAAAAAAAAAAAAAAAACACACACCAAAAAAAACACACACAACACAAAGCATCAATCCAACATGAGCTCAAAGGAAACAGGTGACCTTAGATTCTTCCCAGCGCCGATACCTCCTGTCCCAATCTACTTTCCCCTAATTTTGCATAAGTTATTTTCCACTGTAAACAAAGCATTTCAAAGTAGACTTATTAAAAACCCTCCAGATTTCAAAGAACTTTTGTCAGGAATCCTGTCACTAATCTTCAAGGCTCATCAAACACAAAAATCTTGAATCCTGTTAGGTACATCACTGCAAGTCCTTATTGACCGCACAGTTCAATAGTAGCACACACTATGAGCAGGCGCTTGCAAAGGATTAGATCAGTTCAGGTAGATACCATGGTAAATCCACAAACGTATTTTCAAGTAGCAGCCAAAGACCCATTAAAAAGTGACATAACTCCTTTATACTTCTTCATTACTTATCTGCCCCAAAGACTGCAGCAGAGAAGACTAAACCTATGTTTCCAGGTTCTGCAAGACAGGTTACTAAAGATGATGCGGATTATCAACGTTATAAGGATTATCAACATTATTAGGAATGTGAGAAAGCCACGTGCATCTGATCTTTGGCTGAATAAATCAAGCAAAACATAAAAATCCCCCATCAAGCACACTGTGACTTGTGACCAACAGAGCTGCTGTTCACCTTCTTGTTCAAGAGGCACACCTGAAATATCATAATTCTATTATAGAAGCCAAATTACTTCATTTCAAAATAAAAGTGTGCATGGAACTAGGGAAGTATGACATGGATCACGCACCAGTGTGAATTTCAGCATGACTGCAGCAGTCCCAATGAATCAGCTTGCACAGTAAGCTGTGCTACGTGCTCAACAGAGTCCTTCCAGACTGAGGACACATTCCAGTCATTACTGGATGGCTACTTACCCGGCTGTGTTTTAACAGAAGAATTTTAATCAAGTTTGAGCTCTTTATGCCAAAAACGGGTTAGTTTTTTCTGCAGAGCTGTATGTTCCATTTTAGCTTTCTCAGTGGCACACAAAATATCCTTCTGCAAAAGGAAAGGGGTCGAGGGGGTGAGGAGGTGCTCTCCTAGCTATCGCTATCTCCTTTTATCAGCAGATGAAACACTGAGATTAAAACCAAAGAACTTCCTCTGCAAACAAAGACTGACAAAAGTAAGTTCTTCATTTCTCACCACTCATGATCACAGTATGATTCATTTTATTCACTGGAACTTCTCCCTAAAGGTGTATGAGGACTATAGTCACTACTTTCAATTCAGGTCTGAATGCCCAAAGGTAGGCTCCAGAATCCGTATTTAGATACCAAAACAACACTCTAATGTCAAGACTGCAGAGTCAGGCATGAAACCCCAGAGACTCCAACATGCAGACATTTTACTGATTTTCTATCCCATGGTAGGTTTGCTTTATTACTACGCAGAGAACAGAAGCTCAGTCAATACAGTATACTCAACATAAACATGTCTGAGCATCGGTTCCTGTTGAAGCCTTAGCTTTTTATGATTTGAGTCATAACGAGTTAGTATCTAATGTTTACCATGTGAGCTAAAAGTCAGACCAAAAAAAAGTTACTATTCCTCATGTAAATTACAGAATCAGATGTTTCATACTACTTGAATCCTGATTTCCCCCATTCATCTTGCTTAAATATATACTATAAACTGATTAGGTTTTCCCTGAGCAATCAGACTGCACAGGTGCTACACTAACTTCTATCAATAGTTCCTACCTTAAATTTCGGTAGATTAAAAGAAGTGTCTATCAATGCTGGGGGGGGGAATCAGTATTCTCTCATACCCTAGTACAAAACTACAACGCTCTTTAGCTCCAGTTATACCCTGTAATTAAAACACACACCTTCCAATTTAAAACTAAAATTCTAATTTCAAAACAAATAAATCAGTCCTGTTGCTCTATTGGTTAGAATTAGATTACTTATTGCTTTCTCTTAATTACTTCTTCAAGATACGTGATAATGACTGAAGTCCTACTGCCAATTATGACCATCTGCTGGCTTCCAGGGACAGATTTACTCTCTTACAACCCCAAACTCATGGCCAAACTTGAGATAATCCTATAGGATTAGAGCTCCAGGATTGGCATGTAATGCCAGTTTAACTAACTGACCTCACCGAAATGCAGTTTTGGCTCAGGTGGATGGTGCCTGCATTGCACAGACACCGGTGACCGCGGCTGTACCCGCACATGCAAGGTGCAGCCACAACGTGCAACAGGGACAGGCACGAGCCTCCCCTCAAGAGAGAGGGACCAGCGCAGCACCACATCCCTCCGCGTAACCCTAGGGCACCGCTACACCCACCCTACCTCACTGCCACACTACATTATACCTGAACGAAACAGCTCACGGAAGACATTACATCAGTTATGCTGAGCACTACTCAAGCCTCAGAAAACGCATCAACACATCCTACTGACTTGATCTAGATCTAGACCAGACCTTCTGGTATGTAGAAAAACATGCTTTATAAAGTCACACATTTCCAAGAAGCAAAAGAAGGTGGGAACTCACTGCCCACAGTCAGGCAGGCACCAGGCCTCAGTTTGTCGACCGCTGTGAGCCAGCACTCAGCGAGTACAGTTGGGTGAACATCAAGAAGAAAGGCTGTAACTTAATTTCATCAAAAGTAGCCCAAAAGAGTTATTAAAACCCAAAGCAAAATACACCAGTAATAGCCTTCCACTTTAACAGATATTACAGAACATTAAGCAGTAGGGCGCAGATTTTAAAACGCTCCCTGCTTTCATTGGTAATTCTTGAGACGTTTAGTAGGTGGCTGTGGTTCCTTCTCAGTTAACGAAAACAGCAGTAAGAACTGGGAGTAGTTTCTGCTCACAGCTATCTGAACTCCCTCCAGTACCGCTCATGAAACTACCCAGGTCGCTTCCAAAAGGAAAGCTGCAGTTAAGATTAGAAAACCATATCAAAAGAAATCCAGAAAACCTCCAAGCTCCTGGAAGTATTCCCTCACTCCGCAGTGAAATTCTTTTCCTCACTTATAGCCTGGAACTGTGTAAGGACAACATAAAATTTTCACAACATACTTCAGAGAAGAAAAATTATCAGCCATTCATTACAGTTCTATTTTGGAATAAACACTTACTCAAAAGAAATCAAGTCAAAGGAGGGAAAGTATCTTCAAGATTTTTTGAAAGCAAGTCCTGTTCATCAAAGTAAGAGGCTTCCATTGAGTAAATTACATTTTGATTTAAATAAATACAAAAAATACCACAGTCTGCACTGAGTTCAGATACTCTGCTATCTTCCAAAGCTTTCTTCATTCCTTAAATTCTTTCCTTTCTCATGGTATCTTCTACCCCAAACAAGGCACACCATCTTTGCCATCCTTTCTTTAAAAGTAACAGTAACACATCAACAGTGCCAGCTCTCAGCTTTAACAAACTGGAGTAGAAATCACTGGAAGCGTTTCCTGGGTAACAAACCATTAGCCATTTCCACATATAGGCAGAATAAAATAGTCAGTGGTGTAATTAATTTCCAATTTTGCAACCCTCACCGAGCACAAATGTCCAATTTAAGATTGCTGTTCTCAGATAACAATGCTGCCGCTGCAGACTTCGCGCTTCTTTGTGTTTTCAGAAAGACTCCATACACACAACGGGGGCAAATTTGGAAAGTGATGAATGCTATGAAACTTTTTCCATCCATCCTTTTCCTCCCACACTCCCAGTATTTGCTTGCAAAGAGTTTCACTGGATCAAACTAAATGAAGAAATTAAGAGTTAAGTACCACTAACTGATATAAAGATTAAGTTTTACTATCAAATCACCAGTCACAGTGACCAATTGTCTATCAAATGTTTAAAACCTCCAGGCAGAGACCCCTGATCTCAATGTGGGCATCTAGGGCCCTCCACTGGAGCTGCATTTTCAGTCCTCTGCACTGGTTTGGTCTCAACAGTTTTTAAACTTGACAAGAGGGGAAGATGGGAACATCTTAACCCCCACAATATTTCAACATAACTAAAATTGGTCAATGGGACAGATGCTGTGTTTGAATACTGGTGGCACCACCTCTGCTTTGTGCCCGGATCCGGCTTCTCACAACAGAAAATAAGTCACAGGGCAGGAGCACCAGGGACTAACAAGCACAGAGAGATCCTCCCTCCATACGCTCAGGTTGCCAATGGGAACTGGAGCGGTACCATGGAACGAGGCTTCTCCAAAAAAACCCTCTCCCAGCAAAATACAGCTAGTAAGGACATCAGCAGGGAACTTGCTTGTGACTGTTTTTATACAGACACCCATCACTGCCAGCCTGTTATTAACAGCTATTTTAAGTGACTGATGATTCTCCTCATCTGCTACTCCACAGTTATGTTCTCCAACTGCCAGTGCAAAGCCATGGCCAAGTACACGATTAATCTCTGTTGCCTGGAGGCTCGGCACTTGAACGATTGAGATTTTCATTTTATTTGTTCAGCATTTTTTAGGAAGCGGATTATGACAGAGGCTGGGAAAAGCAGCCAAAAGCAGCATGAGGACTAGGGCAAGCTACTACAAAGCAAAACTGGAACTACAAAGATACCTGTTGTTCTGGAAAGGCCACTTATTATTGACTTGCTGAAAGTCACATGGAAAAAAAAAAGCCCTTTCCCCTCACAGTTCAGAGCCCAGCCTGTATGGATTTGAAGTATGTTTTGCAGATCTTTTTCACTGGTAGAAAGCATTTTTCTCACAAGAAACCATACAGTTTGCTCCAAAGTCATGTTTCAAAATAGTTCTCCATTTCAGACACCACTCTCTGGCTTTAACCAGGAGATACCTCACATTTTTCATACTGTCAAATAGCAAGCAAAACCTGTATAATACTTACAGTTTTAATTTCTCCCTTACAAGCTATACATTCCTTCAGATTTAAAAGAAAGAACATCTGTGCCAGGAACAGACCTGAGCATGAAGTGATACTGTAAAATATGTATTTGACACTGTTATAATTAATCCATGATAAACTTACGGAAGGAATAACGTTAAAGGGATTTTCACTCCCATTTTCTAACACAGTCGTGCCTGTTACTGCATGAAATCCCCTTATAACAACAAGAGGTTTAACTGAAGAAGTGACAAGTGCACCATTTCAAGAAACAAACCTGGGAGCCGAGGTTCTAGCACTTCCCACCCAGCCCCTGCCCACAGCTGCCCGGTCTGCATTAGGCTCACCAAAATCCATGCCAGCCCCACCACAGCCCGCTGGGCACAACCCGGCTACTCTCCTCTGCAGGAGCGACGGCGCACTAAGGCACAGGTCCCGACAGCAGCAGGACAAGTGAGTAAGGGCGGCTGCAGTAACACAGGGGTGACCCAGCGATCCCCAGATACCTGCAAGCACAGAAAGAGTGCACTGTCTGTCCCCGCCGCCCCACGCCGCAATCTCGCCCTCACGCCAGCAGCCCCCGCACACCAGGGCCCTGGCCCATCGCCTCGCCCAGCACCGCCCCAGGCCCCCCGCCAAACCGGGCTGTTAGGAAGCGGCTGCTGACCCGAATACAAAGCGGTGAAGTAGTGCTGTCATTGGTGTTTTGGGAACATGCTCGCTCCACAGGCTCAAGTAGGCAAAGTACACGACAGAAACTGGGAATTACCGTCTCCTGCACCCGGGCTGCTGGCCATTCATGCCATAGAAAACCCCTGAACTCGAATTTAAACTTCTTCACATTTGCAGGGCTTGTCTTTGTACTCCCACTACTCATGCCATCTCCATTTGAAGTTCATGAAAAATGAAAGGAATATCACATCATCTACTAAGTACATGTTTTAGAAAACAAACATGGAAGTAATCAAAATACGGAATCAGTTGCTCAGACTTCCCCCTTCCCCAAAAAAGGCAATCTGAAAGTGCAGTGCTCACGGTCAGTACTTGAAGGTAATACTTGTTAGAGAGGTAACAACTGTAACAGCCACATACTGTTCATTAACATGCGGAAAGACATTTAAAAAAAAAAAAAATCAGGAGTTTTAATACAGCACAAAACAAATATTTGGGTTGAAATGTCATTCCCCTATTTCCTTCACTGAATGAAGTACATCAGTTTCATCTATGACCATAATCAAACCATTAAAAGGCATGGAAGTCGT